GGCCTCCTCGACAGCGACCGCACCATGCGCGGCCTTGGCGTCTACCGGCGTGCGTCGGAGAGCGTGAACGCCCTCTCGCCCGCCATGCGAGCGCGGCTCGATTCCTACGCCGCCGGCGTGAACGCCTGGCTCGCCGACGACGACCAGCAATTCGGCCTCGAACTCACCCTGATCAAGCTCATGTCCGGCGGCCGTTACCGGCCCGAGGCGTGGCGACCGGCCGATTCGCTCGTCTGGGCCAAGCTGATGGCGCTGGGGCTCGACGGCAACTGGCGCGCCGAGCTGCTGCGGCTCAGGCTCTCGCAGAAGATCGGCGAGGACGGCGTCAAATTCCTGATCGAACCGCCGGGCGACAGCAAGGACTCGACGCTCGCGATGGTCCTGGCCGCCGTGAAGGACATTGATCTCGACCGCATCTTCCGCGGCACCGACAACGAGGTGACGCGCAAGCGTGAAGCCTCGAACGAATGGGTGCTGTCGGGTGCGCATGCCGTTTCGGGGCGACCGCTGCTCGCCAACGACCCGCATCTGGGCTTCTCCTTCCCCGGCGTCTGGTACCTCGCCCGGCTGGTCGGACCGGGCTTCGACATTCGCGGCGCCACCTCGCCCGGTTCACCGGCGGTGGTGCTCGGCCACAACGGCACCATCGGCTGGGGCTTCACCACCACCAACCTCGACAGCCAGGACATCTTCGTCGAACGCGTCGATCCGACCGATCCGAACCGCTACATCACGCCCGACGGCGCCCGCCCCTTCGCGGTGCGCGAGGAGACGATCAAGGTCGCCTGGGGCGAGCCCGTCACGATGCGCGGTGCGCGAGACGCGGCATGGTCCGGTGATCGACGACTTCGTCCGCCGCATCGAAGGCATGACGCCGCAAGGCCACGTGCTCGCGCTGCAGGCCACGGCGCTCGACGGCGCCGACACCTCGGCGGAAGGTTTCGCCCGTGTCGGCTCGGCGCAAACTGGGAAGAGTTCCTGGCCGCGACCCGCCGCATCGTCTCGCCGATGCAGAACATGGTCTATGCCGACACGTCGGGGAACATCGGCCTGATCTCGCCCGGCGCGCGTGCCGATCCGGCGCAAGGGCGACGGGTTCGATGCCCGGTTCCCGGCTGGACCTCGGAGTACGACTGGGCGGGCTTCGTGCCGTTCGACGAGCTGCCGCGTGCCTACAATCCGCCGGCCGGCTGATCGTCAACGCCAACGGCCGCCTGGTGTCCGACGACTACCGCCACTTCATCAGCAAGGACTGGGCCGAGCCCTACCGGCCAGCGCCGCGCCGCCCAGCTGCCTGGGCGAGG